ATAGCCGCTTGGCTATCAGATTAGATATTTACCATCCTAGTTAGCAAGAGGTTGGTGCGTAGCCAATCGGCTGCCTGTTTTATAGCGGCCACCTCTATTTGAAAGATGCTACAGAAGTACAACAGTCTGAACATAAGATCTATCGAGAGTTCCCGACAGTAGACCCCTCCTCCGACTCTCCCGTCCAGCTTGATTCGTCCATGAATATGTTTATTGGACCTCTATTCCAGAGACTGCCATTCTCCCATTCGCTCCTTGGAGGAATGTGTGTGGAGAAGGATCCGTTTGGGGCCAGCCTTGGAACACGCCAGTCGAAACTTTTTAGAATCGTCAAGTGGCCGTGTGCTGTGTTCAAACAGAACTGCCACTACTTTTCCCGCGATGTCAACAGGTTTGACGCTGATCATAGCATTTAGCGCTAGAGTTGGAGTGGTCCGGAGCGCCCCGCTGATTCCAACGAGGGCCGCCCTTTGCATGCGCTTTAGCTTCCTAACAAGAGTAGACTTTTCCAGTGAATTCCACCAGACAATGGCCCCATATAACATGATTGGCTTATTATGGTTTCATACAGCCAATACATAACATTTGGAGATAGGCCCTATCTCTTCCCTATAGAATTTTTACACCAGTAAAGAGCCACTGATGCCTTTTTTACTCGCTCCTCGATATTTGCTTCCATGATAACTTCCAGTCCAGAATCACGCCCAAGAATTTGACCCTGTCAGGAAGAACAAGGGAAACACTTCCTAATGAGGAATGCTGGGCATGAGGCACTTTATACCTCCTGGTGAATAGTAAGAGCTCCGTCTTTCCAGGATTAATAGCGAGAGTTTGTGACCAAGTACCCTTGCATGAGATCATACAGAGTGTCCAGGAACTTTCCTCTGACGATGAGAGCCACATCACCCGCGTAGGCAATAACCTGGCATCCCTCTTTCCAACTCCTCCAGGACATCGTTTATTACGACTGNTTGGTGCGTAGCCAATCGGCTGCCTGTTTTATAGCGGCCACCTCTATTTGAAAGATGCTACAGAAGTACAACAGTCTGAACATAAGATCTATCGAGAGTTCCCGACAGTAGACCCCTCCTCCGACTCTCCCGTCCAGCTTGATTCGTCCATGAATATGTTTATTGGACCTCTATTCCAGATACTGTCATTCTCCTNGTACAACAGTCTGAACATAAGATCTATCGAGAGTTCCCGACAGTAGACCCCTCCTCCGACTCTCCCGTCCAGCTTGATTCGTCCATGAATATGTTTATTGGACCTCTATTCCAGAGACTGCCATTCTCCCATTCGCTCCTTGGAGGAATGTGTGTGGAGAAGGATCCGTTTGGGGCCAGCCTTGGAACACGCCAGTCGAAACTTTTTAGAATCGTCAAGTGGCCGTGTGCTGTGTTCAAACAGAACCGCCACTACTTTTCCCGCGATGTCAACAGGTTTGACGCTGATCATAGCATTTAGCGCTAGAGTTGGAGTGGTCCGGAGCGCCCCGCTGATTCCAACGAGGGCCGCCCTTTGCATGCGCTTTAGCTTCCTAACAAGAGTAGACTTTTCCAGTGAATTCCACCAGACAATGGCCCCATATAACATGATTGGCTTATTATGGTTTCATACAGCCAATACATAACATTTGGAGATAGGCCCTATCTCTTCCCTATAGAATTTTTACACCAGTAAAGAGCCACTGATGCCTTTTTTACTCGCTCCTCGATATTTGCTTCCATGATAACTTCCTGTCCAGAATCACGCCCAAGAATTTGACCCTGTCAGGAAGAACAAGGGAAACACTTCCTAATGAGGAATGCTGGGCATGAGGCACTTTATACCTCCTGGTGAATAGTAAGAGCTCCGTCTTTCCAGGATTAATAGCGAGAGTTTGTGACCAAGTACCCTTGCATGAGATCATACAGAGTGTCCAGGAACTTTCCTCTGACGATGAGAGCCACATCACCCGAGTAGGCAATAACCTGGCATCCCCCTTTCCAACTCCTCCAGGNTTTCCTCTGACGATGAGAGCCACATCACCCGCGTAGGCAATAACCTGGCATCCCTCTTTCCAACTCCTCCAGGACATCGTTTATTACGACTGTCCAGAGAAAGGGGGAAAGGACGCCTCCCTGCGGGGTGTCTCTGCTCACTTTACGTTGGTCAGAGGCATTTCCCCATTCTGCTATGACAGTTCTGTCGTACTACATCCGAGAGATGAGCCTAACTAAGTGGCTCTCGACTCCAAGCTAAGTTAGCGCTCTTACTATTGCCCCAGGTAGCACGTTATTAAAAGCCCCCTCGATATCAAGGAAGACTCCCAACTACAAAATCTTTGTTCCTAAGAGACTCCTCTATGACTTTAACCATTGAGTGCAAGGCAGATTCCACAGATCTACCTTTTAGATACGCATGCTGAGAGGAATCCTGTTTCTTATATACAGGTCAAGAAGCCTCCAGCCTGAAGTCCCTCGGAGACACATGAGAGCTTGTTCTTGCTTTGGGGGGCCCTCCTGGCCCCTGGGATATACACCCTTTCAAGGCAGCTCGCATAGATTGGGGTGAGCCAGCGACACGAGACCTCCACAGACTTTTGCAGCTGCGCAGGAATAATGCCATCCGGTCCGGGGGACTTGAAAGGCTTGAAAGAGTCCATCGCCCAAAGCAGTCGGCGTTTCTCCAGTAGTTCACCAGAGAATATGGGGTAGCCAAGCGTACCGACACCGGTACATGGTGTGGGGTTTGCTGGGAAATGAGTATCAAGGAGTAGTTAACGACGCCCCTCCGCTTAGGGCACAGTTTCCCTCTTCGTCCCTCAAGTATCCCAAAGGTATAGGACTCCTCGCGAGGATTCGAGACGATTCGTGACAACCTTCAGCTCCTTCGCAGAAATTTCTCCACGACTTTTGGCCTTTCTTATCTCGGACTTATATATATCCAGTCCGACTTTGTAGAGTTCCCAGTCGGAGTATTGTCCACTCTTCCTGGCTTTGTTGAAAAGGCGCCTGCTCGACGCCCTAAGTTCCGAGAGTTCCATCGTCCCCCATTTCGGTCGGACTTTGCCCGAGGGCCTGCTCAGCGGGCATGAGCTTTCAATGGCACTCCTACAGGCTGATGTAAATTTCTCCACCGAGTCCTCAATCGAGATTTCAGTGCTTAAGTTTACAGGAGGAGCCTCTGGGAGTAGTTCCCGCAGTTTTGGCTGTAGAGGTCTCAATTTGTTTTCCTACAATTTCTATAGGGGATAATTTTAGAACGGTCGTCGTCCAGATAAAACTGAACATATCTATGGTCCGAAAAGGAGGGATCATGAAGAACCCTCCAATCGGAAATACGGGATAATAAAGAAGACAAGGCAAGGGTAAGGTCAAGGACCTCTTGCTGTAGTGATAAGGGTCGGTTCGTTACCTCTATTACAACTACCTAAGTCCTCACTTAGAATATAATCAAAAAGTGACTCGCCTCTCGTGTTGATGTCTGAGCTTCCCCAGCACGAGTGCCTCGACTTTGCATCCTATCCAATGATAATATCGGCTTTTCGTCGCCTCGCTTCGGCCATAATCTCACGCAGTAATAGTGTGGTTCCACCTCGTCCTCATGCGCCATGTATGCAGACACGAGCCAGAACTCTCTGGCGCCANTCCTTCGTTGTTGTTGCTCGAAGAATTTGCAATCGAATTCTACGTACCTAGTACATGCATATGTACCACCAATAAGTTCTTGTTCACGCGTTAACTTACGAAGTTTGCTTCCTATGACGATTTGAATTTCCTCGCCAGAATCCTGGTCACGGCACCAATGTTTCGTTGCAAGCTTTTTTGCAACGCCCGAACCCAATTAAAAGTCAGGAATTTTGCTTTCCAGCAGTATAAAATATATTAACTTCAAAATTGTATAGAAATTCGCGTCCGTCGCGTTCAACTTATTGGTACATACTCTTTCTCTGTTCTTCTCCTATTTCCATTTTGACATTTCTATTAACCCTACAGTAAGCATGTAAGCTTCATACGTAAAAACACAACACTTATATTTTGCCTTTGTATTTAGACATTTATAATTAAAAATTAATAAATTATACACTGGTGTTGGTTATTTTTCCGACACGATGGTAAGATGATTTATTTTGGAACGAATTTCCCCATCCCTTGTCAAGTTTGGTTTGGAAAGAACCCGTTTTCGGTGTTGTGCCATCTTCAGTGTAATTTTTCGTCCTGTCTGATTTGAGTTTTTGTCCTTAATTTATGTTCATTTAAATTAGGTAATATGAATTTCGTCGATGATTGAGTCTTAGATATGCCGTGGTGTACTTCTTCTAAAAGCGGGTAATGGCTTCATCTTTCACCATCTCGATATTAGCGTTCGTTATGTTTTTGCTGTATGGTATGTGTTTGGAAGGAGCGTCCATGTCTAATTTTTGTTGTTATTTGTCTTTTCGTAAATCTATTATAGGGGTTCGAATATAAAATCCGATGCGGTATTTCTTTCGTATTTTATTACCCCGCCAAAGGTTTTTATTTTGTATAATTCCATATTTTCTAGTAAATTTGGTCGTTGGTCTTTATGTTGTACATTTGTTGTTAAAGTATTGTTGTTTTTAAGTATTCTGAAATACTGCAACCCAATAGTCGCGCAAGGTTGCGTTTTTTGAAAATTTAAGAATGTGCCAAAATTTACAGCCTTTGAAATTTCTTCGCCAGTAGCATTGCAAGTTCGAAGATGTGAGAGTATTAGAAGAAAATTGTGAGTGTATCAAGTTGTTCGGAATTGCACTGCCACAGAGCAGAAACATTTTTATACCAAATTCTTGTTGTTGTTGTAACAGCATACAAACTCCCCAAAGACTTTTTGGGGAGTGTTGCTGGAGTGACAGTCCTTGGCCAGATATAGATCTGGGTCGTTCCGGATACGTAGACCCGACTGTCATTTTTAGATGTAGCGAAGATATTTTTGATTTTCAACACAGCCCCATCTAAATATACTGATTATTTAACTTGTTTCTATATTTTTAGCTGGATGATTTACTTGCCAAACGAAAAACTAATCTTGATGCTGTTATTGAATTTGCTATAGATGACAGCTTACTTGTCCGTAGAATAACGGGCCGCTTAATTCACCCCGCAAGTGGCCGCTCTTATCATGAAGAATTTGCTCCACCGAAAAATCGAATGCGCGATGACGTGAGTTTCTCTTCTTAGAACGAAAAAATAATTTAAATATTTATTAATAGGAATTACTTTTATTATCTTCTAGGAAACTGGTGAACCTCTTGTTCGTCGGAGTGATGATAACGCAGCAGCTTTAAACAAACGACTAGAAGCGTACCACAAACAAACCAAACCTTTGGTTGACTACTATGCTGTAAGAGGGCTGCATTTTAAAATTGATGCAGCACAAACGGCGCACAATGTATTTACACATATTGATAACATTTTCCTTAAACAACGTAAATCTCGAGACATATTATGAAACCGAAAAAATCACTTTGCAAAACTCTCGGAATTAAAATAACCGTTTTTATGACACATTTTATTATTATGCTTTGCACTTCACAATTAAACAAATCAGGGCCCGAATCGCGGAATCGTAATCGAGTGATTACTCGTTTCGAATCGAATGAAATAAAATTACAGCTGTTTTCGGGCCAAGCACACTCGCCAAGGCGAATTAATATAAGGTGATAGCAGGAGTACAAAAACAAAAATTTACATGTATTTTGTTTTTGCTTTGGCGGCATAAACTGTCAAAATCTGTAAGAGTGTGTGTAGAAATTCAAACAAAATTTTTCATTTTGATATCAGAAGCCGTGCGGCGAAACACATACACAAAATCAGCTGAGCTAGTAACACCACCTTATATAAATTCGCCTTGACACTCGCTATCGAATGCCGTGATCTGATAATCAAATTTCGATTCGAGTTACGTTCGATATCGAATGCCGCGATTCGGGCCCACTTAAAATATGAGGGGGTTCGGTCGACGGTTTACAATGGGTGGCCTAGAACTAGTTAGCTGTGTTAATTAAAAATACATTAAAAGTACATTCTTTTTAAACAATCTTAACGTGGACTAAACAAGTTTTTTCCAACCAATGCCTTTATGCATTTCACAATTAAACAAATTAGTCAAAATATGAGGGGGTTTGGTCGACGGTTTACATTGGGTGGCGTAAAACTAATTAGCTGTGTTAGTTAAAAATCATTTGAAAGTACATTCTTTTTAAACAATCTTAACGTGGACAAACATTTTTTTTCATACAACTGACATTATACATGGGTGTTGCCAAGTCATATTAAATCGGTTGTATCAGTAGAGTAGCTGATTTGATTTTTTTAAATTACTTGGTCTAAAATATCAAATATTTTTAATTTCAAAAAAATTATAAATTGTTAAAATCTATTTGCATGTGAAACATTTTCCCATACAAGACAAGCGATTGGAATGCAGCTTTTGGAACGTTAACCTAGCTCAGCAGTGCAAACGCTGATTACTAGGCCTTGCAAATGATGGATCACTGCTTCGAGAAGCAAACAAACTTACTATGAAAGAAAATTGCAACAATTTTAGATACCTGTTTGATATGCCTTCGGTGTTGCCTTGATACAGAAGGTCCATTACTCATTTTTTTCCCCCTTTTTTTCATTTGGCTCTACATAAATTGACAGATTATGGTGCATTTACATGGTATGAAGCCATATGAACTGTTGATACGCTAAAATAGAGGGACTACATGTTCTTATGAGGAATTCAATGATATCGAGTGGGATGCATATAATAGATTTTTTCATATGAAAAATTATGGGGAGATACTGTAAACATACTGTTGTGATACTGTTAAGCATATGGGTGTTTTCATGAAAATGTCAACCAGGACTGAAAAAATAAAAACAACTGAAAAGGGTTTTTAAGACGAATTAATAAGAGTAAAATACTCGAATTTTTATATTATCAGAATTTTATCAGCTTATTGCAATTTTAAAACTCAAAAATTGAAGAGTAAAACTGAGTGTCTCTTCGACTCAGTTTTCTCNGAAGTATTTCAGCTTATTGCAATTTTAAAACTCAAAAATTGAAGAGTAAAACTGAGTGTCTGTTCGACTCAGTTTTCTCTAATGGAATGAACTATTTTCTCTTTCCTATTAACTAAATTAAGAGATTTGAAACATTACAATTACATCTTAAAATCAAATTTGCAATAACAACTAACTATAAAAATGAGAAAAATGAGAAGTTAGAGCTCGGTTGACGGTAGTTTTTTGATTTGCTTCTGATAGTATTCTAATGTCGCGTACGTTATGCAAAAACATTGTTTGTCTATGTCATTTGTATATTGGCAGTCGCAGGTAATGCAGATTACAATTCTTAAGCGAGAATTCTTCCAGTTAAAGATATGCAGTAAAATTTTCTTTCCAACCGAAGTAAAACAAATTTTATTACCCTTTAAAGTCTGTCGCATACGTTATTGTAAGTACGAAAATTTCAATCAAATATTGATGTATGCAATGTTAATTGCAAATTTTCCATTTAAATTATTTAGAATAGTTGTAAAACAATGAAACGGTGGCGGAAAGAGTTCTCAATAAATACATTTTATTACTTACGAGCAAAATTGTCGCGTACGTTATGTCGCGTACGTTATTGTTTTTTTTTTTAATATAAAACTAGCCAGAGATAATTTCTCTTAAAATATGAAAGGATTGTAAAGGTACATTATTTAGCTTAGTTAGGAACATTTAAAGAAAAGAAAAACTCCCATGATTCGCAGACTTTCGCATATATGCGTGTTTCCATGAAAATGTAAACCGAAAATGTCAAGCAAATGAATTCAAACGGCTTTATAACTTTAAATTTCGTATTCAGATGGTGGAAAAAGGTTTTGAAAACGCGAAACGGTGGAGAGAAGAACTGAAAAAATTTAATTTAGTAAAAATATTGTATGGGGAAAAATATGTCGCGTACGTTATGTCGCGTACGTTATTATATATTTTTTTTAATAAAAACAAACCAGAGATCATTTCTATCAAAAAATGGAAGGATTGTAAAGGTCATTATTTAGCTTAGTTTAGGAATTTTTAAAGAAAAGAAAAACTCTCATGATTCGAAGACTTTCGCATATATGTATATGTGCCTTAAAACCACTTCTTTTTTGTCGCGTACGTTATCACCTGGTTTTGAACGGATATTTTTCACACCAAAGTTTCGAGGCTGCTTATTTTTTTCTCAAACATAACCGTAATCTTTTTTTTCAGTAACTTCTATTTTTGATAGATTTACGTTACTCTTTAAGCGTACGAATGTCGCGTACGGCTGTATGGAACCACCCATATGAAATTATAGCAAGTTGGATTTTCATACATCTTCCCATAAAAAGTTTAACAGGTGCAGAGATACCAAGGAGGTTTTTTCCCATTTTGATGCCTTTTTTAGTATAAAACCCACCGAAAAGGAGGAAAGCGGCAACTCCGCCATTCACATACATGTCAAATGTAGGAATTTTAAAATTAAAAACAATGAACAAACAATTTCAAAACAAAAAATCTGTGTACTAGATCTTTTTCAATAGAAACAATTCACGTATGGTGGACAATAAAAATACAAAGCACTATGATAACAAGACATTACACAACATTTTAATGAGCTTTATATCACATTTAAGTAAAAATAAGCCTATATTTTCAAAGCTTGCAAAGAAAAGAAAATTTGTATTTTTTGTTGTTTACAAAGTCAAAATTATAGAAGGTATGTATACTCCTCCCTTTCATTTTTTCATACAGTTGATGCTTCTTTCTGGCTTTTACAAAATGCAGGGATACCACTCTTATTTCGGTACAATATGATCGTAATGTATTTTCAATTCGAAATTAAAGAAAAAACATCCCACGAAAATGTTTGCCATTGTAGAACAATAAGTGTATATTTGCAAACTAATGCAAAGAATGGAGTGTCATATCTTAAAAGGTTGGGAGAATTAACGAAACAAACAAACATTTTATGGTCTTATGTTTCCTTCAAACCGCATTGCTATTTTTTCTAACTCCTCCTTTTGTAGCGCTGTGACCGCTTAAGTTATATTATTTAATTTATACATGTGAGTTATTTTCAATCAGCATTTTTTCATTTGCTCCTGAATTTTGGGTATATTTTCTTATAGCACCTCAGCAGCCAGTTCGAAAACGCCCTATCTCAGAAAAATTTTCAACAACCCTTATCTCAGAAAACTTTTCAAGAATGCCCTACTTCAGAATTTGATTGAAAACGCCCTATCTTACCTGCCGATTCAAAAACGCCCTATCTCAGCTTATTTTCAATGTATTTTCGTTTGAGGTAGGGCGTTTTAGAACCGATTTTGAAATAGGGCGTTATTCAACCAAATTCTGAGATAGGGTGTTTTTCAACCAAATTCTGAAGTAGGGCGTTTTTGAAAAGTTTTCTGAGATAGGGTGTTTTCGAACTGGCTGCCGAGATAGGTCGATCTTCCACTCAGCCATCGATATATACACTCCGCTGTTCGCTGTCGCTCCTCTATTGGTAATAGTAAACCTCCGAGTGTATTCTGTCATGAAAACAGCTTCTCATAAAAATACAATTGCCGTTCGGAGTCGGCGTAAAATTGCCCTTCCCCTTTGTGTGACAAAATTAAGGCGCACGCCCCATATGGGAGGAGAAGCTAGGCCAAACACTAACATATTGTGTAAGCGCCAATCTGTATATGGGTGTTTCCATGGTTATGCACGCGACATTTGTACACGTTTATTTGCGTTTGAATGTAGTAAAAATAGAAATATAATGGAAAGAAGTCACATCTTTTAGGATCGCTTCATTGCATGTGATGAGTTTTTTCCAAAAAGTATAAATATTGGAAGATTGAGCACTGGGTACCCAAGTTACAGTCAATCAAAGTTGACTTACGCACGTGACAAAAATGGAAGTTGCTTTTAGAACCGGGAGAAAAAATGCGAAAGTAAGCGAATTGTAGGAGATTTTTGTTCCGGTAAATTTTTTTTTATAAAGGTTAATAATGGAGCTTCATANTTCGCGTGTTAACCAAAACTCACCACCGCATGGCGGTGACGTTGCCGTTCTTCTCTCTCTATCAACAGTAAATTTGAAATGCTGCTACGTACGTCACCTACGTTTACGCTACGTCGTTGACTAACTGCGCTTTTAGACATAAGAAGAGATAATTAAGTTTAAAAGAGGGAACCGTTTTGAATTATGACAAATTTTACTCTCTCCTATAAAATTTAGGCAACCTCACATACAAGGTTTTGCATTTTCTTGATGCGCGGTTTTGTACTTTAAATGACGATATGTAAAAGTATTGCATACATATTTTGGTGCCTTTTCAAGTATAAAATCCATTGAGAAACGAAAGAAAACGGCATCCCTATGATTTCAACTTATGCCAAACATTTAAATGGCGAATTAATATAAGGTGATAGCAGGAGTACAAAAACAAAAATTTACATGTATTTTGTTTTTGCTTTGGTGGCATAAACTGTCAAAATGTGTAAGAGTGTGTGTAGAAATTC